TTATCTAATTTAGTATATTTTCTTCAAACCATTTAAAATCGCGTTAATTAGGGGAAAATTCAATAAAATTCTGAGACTTCGATTTAAAAATAATGTAAAACAAATGTGTTATTTTACTTAATTGTTGTATAGATTTGTCGAAAATATATGGTTTAAGCCGTCGAATGATGTTATTAGATCAATTCACATACTGATAACCTAACTGTTATTCAACTATTTGTTACAAAATTTCATTACTTAACGAGGACTTGGTAAAAACTAGTTTATTGGTATCTTTATTACAATATAAAATTATAAATAAACATATATACAGTGAAAAAAAAAATATCGAAATTCTACCAAACATATGCTCAACTAAATGACGTTATAAAATATTAGGTTATTTCAATGGTTTAATTAAAAAATCGAAATCTCACTTTTTTTTAAATATGCCCAAAACGTTGTGAATAGCACACTGAGGAGCGCGCGCAGTTGTCGACCATAAATCACATTCATATTTTGGATAATTTCAAATAAAATTAGAAGCTTTATTTACTCGTATTTTCAAAAACTGGAATGACGGTACCTATATATGTATCATTGTTTATATATTTCAACTTAAGTTTATAATTTGGCTACTCTTTGAAAAATAACCTTGAATAATCTTATGATGAGTATTATTAGTATTCTTTACGCAATCAGTTTTTTTTTAAATAGTATTAACCTTGATTGTTTTAACGTTGTCAAGTATTTCGTTTCTCCGGGATGTCTTATAGTACAACAATGTTAAACAATCGACTAAATAATTTATCAGTTCTCTCCATAAGTTGTGATTTTAGAAAGGACTTACAATGTGATGATCCAAAAAAGTCTTTATAATTTATTTGACATAACTACACATAACCTGTTAATTTCTTTTGCAATACTGTCTTACGGTCCCTCTTTTTGTATCAAAGTTATATCAAATAAATAAAATATTTCACTGTCCTAATTTATTTCCAGACCATATGCATCATTATAGAAAACAGTTTTTTGACGAAGTGGCCATTAGTTTGTCGAAAGATCACTGTGTACAGAACGAAATCAGCACATGCACGGGACTGAGACAGAACGTGGTTGTATTTCAACACGAGTGGGAGTTTAATGCATACGCATCGTGTCTGAAACGAAACTAACGTGGTAATGTCGTGAAAGATGGATTTTTCATTTGAAGATTTCAACAGAGCGACTATGGAACGCTGTGGAACCGAACGGGATGAGACGCGCGTGGGGCGGGACGGGGTAAACCGACGATATTTTTCCCGTCCGCACATTCCGTAACGTATGCACTTTCACGTACATTTTCTATGAAACGATATTTGAAAAGTTTGACGTTTGGCTCCAAGTAGTGATAGCCCAGGGCCCCACAAATTCACGGTCTGCCCCTGGCCGCGATGCTCCAATGCGTATTGGCGGGCTTTACGTCTTCAAAATTTTATGATATCTTTGAGACTTGCAGGTTTCTTCATGATGATTTCCTTTACTTTTTCCTTTAATTTTAAGTTATAATTTCAATTAACAATTTCATTATTTCATTGATGCCACCAGGGATCGAACCCGGGTTGGTCGCGTATTGTGAAATTTACATTATTTTTTTAACTTATTTGCCTCTTTGTCACTAGACCTACGGGACTTTCCTATATACCTGCCATAAATAAGTAAAACAAATTAGGTGATTAAATGATGTGATCATTTAATTTACTATTTCCGATCATTAAAATTCAGAATTATACAAAAAGTCACATGCTTACAAACTAGTAGTTCAAGTTAAAAGTTCAAATGCTAACGACCTTTGACGCTATACTGCTTTTCCTATACATACGAGTATAAATAATATCGAAGTGTCTATCTGTATTATAGAAATTACTGGCCTTTTAAGCTCAGTGGATTATTTTGCATGCTATGAAGATATGAATAACCATTTTCAAATTGCCACTTCACGAACAAACTTCATATTATTCTTTAATCAAAATAACAACAACTGTAATATATCTCACCCGCTAGTGATAATATAAAATATATTTTCAAAGTTTTTAAATATAGGGGATAGTGTCATTATCACACACAGACGCTATATTATTAGTCTATTTATTGGAATATGGAACATACCAACCACTTCTGGACCGATACGACTTATGGACCTTCAAGAAAAAAGCCAACTCTTTTTTAAATGTCGGAAACGCATCTGCAATTCCCCTGGTGTTGCAGTTGTTTATGGGCGGCGGTAGTCACTTACCATCAAGTGAGCCGCATGATAGTTTGCCGCCTCTGCTATAAAAAAAAATATGCAGCCTATAAATATCCACTGCTGAATATAAGCCATATAAGCCACAGATTGCCATCATAGATCATCATAGAAGAATTGCCATAGTTGCACGCTTGGTAGGCGAGGACTGCAATCGCAGTTGATATATTGGGGCAGTGGAAATTCTTACACGGTGGATTATCATTAGGCTACTGGTTGTTAATACCGAAAAAAGGTAGACCGTAGTAAAAAGTAAATAATTTATTTTAAATAAGTAATACTAAATAAAGCAGTTGTGGATGTTGAACTTAGCTCCGTTGTGTTGGTTGTGTGTGAACTTAGCTCCGTTCGCATGGACAGTTACCACGAGCTTATTATTCATATCATCCACACACACACACACACTAGAGCTGAAAGGTTTCGGGACTATGGACTAGAGCACGCGGGGGACGGAGCGTTGACTTCATTACACGAGACATCTCCAATTTAACGTTTTGGTTCAGTGTGCCTCTTACCATTCGGTGATCGCTACCAGTTTTCGCCACTGATACATCACTGAACAGTTGTCGTCTGGTCGTCATAATGAAGTCAATCTCATTTTTGTCGAACCGTTGGGGCTAAACCAGGTCCACCTCCTGTGGGACCGCTTCTGGAAGAAAGAGTTCATCATAAAGAGTCTCGCTTTATCCATGAAGTCGGCCAGCTGTTGGCCCCTTGGGTTCCGTTGCCCTATTCCAAATTTCCCTACCTTCAGCTGACCGTACTCTCTTGCGCCTACTTTTGCATTGAAGTCTCCCATTAACACCGTATAGTGGGTTTTCGAAGAATGCATGGCTCTAGATATATACTCATACATTTCCTTCACCTCCTTATCGGGATTTACCGAGGTTGGTGCGTAAACCTGTATGACCTTCAGCGAATACCGTTTGGTGATTTTGAGTATAAGGTACGCAATTCTCGTAGACACACTCTCAATCTTTACAACGTTGTTAAGAAGAGACTAGTGGACGATAAATCCGACACCTGCTTGGGACAGATGGTCGCCCTCCTGGTGATAGAGCAAGTTACCGGATTCGAGGATTACCGTGTCCTCCCTCTCTCTTCGGACCTCGGATAATCCAATAATATGCCAGCGTAACTTGTCTATCTCACCTTCCAGCTTCACGATCTTCTCGTCAGTCCTCAGGGTGCGTGCGTTGTATGTTGCCAGGTCGAGTCGTCTTAGGTGGCAACTGAACCCCCACCGGAGATTCTTAGCACCCCCTGCCCCGCCGTTACCATGGTCGCCACCGTAGCCAGGAATAGCGGGGCCGCCAGGGACTGGGGGCCGTCTCTTGGTTACTCTCATCATATCATTGGCGAGTGGCTTGGCAACCGCAGTTTTTTTATTCTAATTTTACTGTTATCAGAAAGATGCTGCTGCCCATCTCCTGCCTGTTTCCCTTTGTCGCCTTTTATGACACCCACGGGAAGATAAGAGGTAGTGGATATCCTTACCCCCTCTTCTGAAGAAAAAAACACCTCTGTCCTGGGAAGAACCAGCAAGAAATCTAGCGGGATTTTTTTTTAAATAACAGCTTACAATCACGTATGTTACACAATTAACAACACAAAACAAATTAGAAATAACTTGGTAGCGACCACCTAATTCCCAGGGGTTATTATCATCCATAAATTCCTTAATATTATAATAACCCTTTTCATACAAACTTAGTTTAATAAAGTTATTAAACTTTGAGCAGGTCAAATTATGTATATTTTCTGGAATTTTGTTATAAAAGCGTATACATCGCTCCAAGAATGAATTGCTGAGTCGGTGGAGTCGACGATTGGTATTAATAACTTGTGTCTGTACCTAGTATTTACAGTATGAATATCACTTATTTTTATAAAACCACTTTTATTTTTGTGTACGTGTACGTACATTACATTTTCATAAATGTATTGAGAGGCCAAAGTTAATATAGTAATTTCCTTAATTTTTTATCGCAGTGACTCTTTAGGCTTTAAATCACAAATTGCTCTTATGGCTCTTTTGTAAAACAAATATAATGTCCCCATAGCAAAATACCATACGAAATGATGCTATGACAAATGTTTTTGTCGTGATAGGACTAAACGTACAGCCATCGATGAAGACTCGGAAAGATCGTTCACTCAGAAAGTTTTTCACCCAGTCAATCAAGCCAGGGGATAGGCCGTACGCTGAAAACTTGACCAATAGGCTAGCGTACCAAACCCTGTCACAGGCCTTCGAGACATCAAGGGAAACAGCAAATGCTTCCTCACTATTCTCGAGGGCTTCGCCCCGTATGTAAGTGGATGCGTCAACACAGGACACAACTCAGACGCATAGAACTTTAGAAATATAGCTGGTATATAATCAGGTCCACTAGGTTTGTTTACATCTAGACTTCGCAAGGTTTTAAGAACCTCCGTGTTAGTGATACGAACCTGTGAAATAAAGGTACAGCAGCGGGGTAATTGAGGCTTGGCTATAACAATTTGTGATTGGATAAGGGTTATTAATAAAAATATATTCATAACAATAATAATGTATATTTAATATTTACATATTTTACATAATATCCCCGAAGAAGTAAGGATACACAAACAAAAGTAACAAACAAAAACAAAACAGAAGTAACAAACAAAGAGTAAAGATGTACAGACGCGTTTAATAAAGGGACCTTTTGCGCTTTTTAGGTTATATTATAGACAACTATGACTAGGCTAATTAAGGCTGATGGCTTCCAACAGGTAGAAAACCACGTTCATCAGCAGTATAGTCCACTCTGTATTTGACCCCATTTGGACCGACAAATTCGTAGAATCCCCTTGCCTTGGTACCAGTTTCACTGTTGATTAAATCTACCTTACCACTTTCCTCGGCAAGAATCTTGTTTTCAGTTTCATACAAGTAATGATAGCCATTAGGTGGTAAATAATCGTTTTCAAGACGGATAATTCCATATCGATATTTGTAATTACCACCGTCATTCTTGCTGATAACTCTGATGGGTGGTTGGCTAGTTGTCAATTGAATTGGTTTAAAGGTAGCATAAGAAGTTGGAAAGGCATTTTGAGATGGGCTTGATAAAGGAGCGTTGGTAGTACTAGATGATATAGCTTCCGTCGATGTCGAAGTAGAAACTTCTCTGGGTGATGAATTTGGTTCTATGCTTATTGACACTGAATTCTCAGTGACATCATTTAATCCTAAAGTTGATGAGATATCATCAGCCGGCTGTTCTGTGTTTGTATCATCGCCGGTACCACGATTTTTCCTAAGTTAAAACATAATTCAATTATGAAAGACATAAATTATAGCCATAAAGTATGACAGGTAAAGATAATAATCAAAGTGAGTAATTGAATGGTTTTTTTTAAATCCTCTACAAATAATTTCTTCTGTATCATGAAGGCAGTTCACAAATATAAATCTCAAAACGCATCATATAAAATTTCAGGCTTATAATATTAAGAACGTAATAGAGTTATTTTCATGTTATACATATAATTTTATAATATAACTTAAATTCATACCATATTATACAAACCGAATAACCTATACAATTTTAAGAGAACTATTTAAATATACATATATTTATTTCATATACATATTTATTTCACGTAACGGCACCAACTATAATATGGTGAGACATGAGTATTGCAGACACTGGCCATGGCAACGCACTAACAGATCTTCGTACAGCACGTGTAGATAGTGATGCATGGACAACAGGGTCCGCTGCTGCACCCACCACAATATATGCGTAATAATTAAAAATTAAAAATTTGGTACAGCCGATTTCAATATAATTTATTAAGAATAACTCAAATAACCCAAAAACTATTAATCTGACCTTAATCAAATTCATATGAGACCATAGGAGAAATATCAGCTTTCATATAAAAAAGAATCATCGAAATCGATCTACCCAGTAAAAAGTTATGAGGTAACACACATAAAAAAAAAAACATACGTGTCGAATTGAGTACCGTCTCCTTTTTGGAAGTCGGCAGAAAAGGGTACCTACCTAAAAACTATGCGGTAGTTTAACTTAGCAAATCACTACTATACTCACCTATCATCACCGCTCTTGTCGGTTGTGTTCTTGCTTGCATCATCCTGTTGCACGGATGCGTCTCCTGGACCACCTACACTATCTGAACCAGAGTTTGCTCCTCCAGGACCAGCTATAGTTCCTGAACCGTAATAAGCTCCTCCGGGACTACCTGTAGTGCCTGAACTAGTGTAGAAGCCTCCAGCATCGCCGCTGTCACCTCGTTCATCACTGTATCGTGAAAACGTTTTATATTTATACAAATTTTTAACATGAAACATAGTATTCCTACAATTCTCTACTAGATAAGAGCTTTTTCCTTAATATTTATTACAGTCACACTTGGCATTTAGCAAATGGACTTGTAGTGGCTAATATTTTGCACTTGCTGCTTAGAGCCGATCTGGTCATTTCAAAACAAAATATTTGTGTCATAATAGTTAAAAACATGCACTGGTAGTTGTTGCAACACAGTTGTAACTAATTGTTAAACCTATATTAGTCCAGGAGGAATCGGCGCATGAGTACCGAAAACTATCCCACCTCAATTTTTTTATGCAAATCTCTTCAAATTGCCCTACTGATGATATTAATGCATGTTGCCGTGGAGCAACTCGATGCCATATTGTTGAAACCGAGTTTTTTTTTTAATTGCAAGGAATTGTTATTTTCAAACGGGACAGTTTTTTTTTATATTTTTTAATAAAATACTAACAAAAAAGTTCATATGACTTTTTAAGATAAAGTTAATATTTTCGCAATGTTAAATATTTAAAAGTTTGAAAAATCCCAAATATTGACTACTTATGAGCCACTTTACACTTTACATTTTACTTTACTTTTAAAGGCGCTTGAAGAATGGCTTGACAAAGTACCATCCGTAATTTCATGTCATAGAAATAATTTTATAAGATAACTTAAATCATACAATATTATAAAAACTAAATAATCTACAAATTTTAATATTATATGCATATAAGGGGTAACTATCTTATGACTATGCCGTAATTGTACTTAGCAAAATACTACTATACTCACCTATCACCACCGCTCTTGTCGGTTGTGTTCTTGCTTGCATCATCCTGTTGCACGGATGCGTCTCCTGGACCACCTGCACTATCTAAACCAGAGTTTGCTCCTCCAGGACCAGCTATTATAGTTCCGGAACCGGAATAAGCTCCTCCGGGACTACCTGTAGTGCCTGAACTAGTGTAGAAGCCTCCAGCATCGCCGCGATCACCACGGTCATCACTGTATCGTGAAAACATTTTATATTTATACAAATTTTCAACATGAAACATAGTATTCCTACAATTCTATACTAGATAAGACCTTTTCCCTTAATAATTAATGGGATTTATTACAGTCATACTTGGCATTTAGCAAATGGACTTGCTGTGACTAATATTTTGCACTTGCTGTCTAGAGCCAATCTGGTCATTTCAAAACAAAATATTTGTGTCATAATAGTTAAAAACACACACTGTTAATTGTTGCAACACAGTTGTAACTAATTGTTAAACCTATATTAGTCCAGGAGGAATCGGCGCATGAGTACCGAAAACTATCCCACCTCAATTTTTTTATGCAAATCTCTTCAAATTGCCCTACTGATGATATTAATGCATGTTGTTATGGGGCAACTCGGTGCCATATTGTGAAAACAGAGTTTTTTTTTAATTGCAAGGAATTGTTATTTTCAAACGGGACAATAATTTTTAAATATTTTTTTAATAAAATACGAATAAAAAAGTTCATATGATTTTTAAGATAAAGTTAATATTTTCGGAGTGTTAAATATTTAATGGTTTGAAAAATCATAAATATTGAATATTTATGACCGATTTTACTTTTGAAAGGCGCTTGGAGAATGTCTTGACAAAGTAGCGTTTATAATACTAGGAGATGGTATAGATTCCGTTGGTGTTGAAGTAGAAACTTCGCTGGGCGATGAATTTGGTTATATTCTTATTGACACAGAAATGTTAGTAGCGTCATTTAATCCTAAAGTTGATGAGATATCATCAGCCAGTTTTCTTGTGTTTGTATCATCAAAGGTACCATGATTTTTCCTAAGTTAATATATAATTCAATTAGGAGCAATATAAATGATAGTCAAAAAGTATGACAGGTAAAGATAATCGCTACTATATTTCATTTAGTGAGCAAATTGCATGATTTTTTTAAATCCTTTACAAGGAACTTCTTTAGTATCGTGAATTTAGTTTACAAATATAAATCTCAAAATGCATCATATAAAATTTCAAGTATATAATAATGCATAAATTATAAGAAAAAAATATGATAAATACAGAGCATAATAGAGGTTTTTTTTTCATGTTATAGAAATAATTTTATAAGATAACTTATTATACAAACCAAAAAATCTTTACAAATTTTAGAGAACTATTTAAATATTATATGCGTAAAAAGGATAACTACCTAAAGACTATGCCGTAGTTTTACTGAGCAAAATACTACTCACCCTGCACCACCGCTCTGGTCAATTGTGTTCTTGCTTGCATCATTCTGTTGCACGTATGCGCCTCCTGGACCACCTGCACTACCTGAACCAGAGTATGCTCCTCCAGGGCCACCTTTAGTTCCGTAACCAGAGTAAGCGCCTCCTGGACCACCCGCAGTGCCTGAACCAGTGTAGAAGCCTCCAGCAACGCCCCGATCACCACGGTCACCACTGTAAACAAAACATTTTATACATATTCAAATTATCAACATGAAACATAATATTCCTACAACTTTCTACTAGATACGAGCTTTTCCCCTAAATAATTAATGGGATTTTTTACAGTCACAACTGGCATTTAGCAAGCGGATTTGTAGTCGCTGATAGACATTTGCTGCCTAGAGCCGATCTGGTCATTTCAAAACAAAATATTTGTGTCATTATAAGTTAAAACACACACTACTTAGTAGTTGTTGCAACATATTTGTAACTAATTGCTAAACCCATATTAGTCCATGGGAAATCGGCGTATGAGTACCGAAAACTATTCCACCTCAATTTTTATGCGATTTTCTTCGAATTGGCCCACGGATGTTATAAATCCATGTTGCCGTGGGGCAACCATGTGCCATATTGTTATAACCGAGATTTTTTTTCAATTACAAGGAACTGGATTATTAGAACGGGGCAATTTTTTTTATTTTCTTTGATAAAATACAAATAATAAAGGTACCATGACTTTTTACGATGAAGTTTATATTTTCGGAGTTGTGAATTTTTAAATGTTTGAAAAACCCCGAATTCGTATAATTTTGACTCATAAAAATATATAAAGAGAAAGAGTAAAATATAAACTATATTTTTTATATTCTTTAGACAACAGTTAATAATATCCATAAGCGAGAATAAAACAATATACATTTCGTTATATATTTTTAAGTATCCGAATTCGGATATAAACAAACCTTTAAAAGACCCTTTTTATTTGTATTTTACCAAACAATTTAAAACTTAGCTCTTAGGCCCTTTTTGTTAATATTGACTTTTGTTATGCTCAGGACCGTACTTTGTGGCATTCCTTGGGGGAGGCCTATGTTCAGCAGTGGACTTGTGAAAGGCTGTAATGATGATGATGCTTGTGTGCTATTTTTCTTTTCCCTTCCAAAGAAAAACTTGAGGCACGTCATAAATGCCGAAATTTGCTTTAAAAATATAATAGTAAAGTAAAATATAACTTATTTAAAAAATAGGCATTTTCACATGACGTTTGCGACATAAACTTGCAAAAACACACATGTCAGCGACAGTGTTGCTTGAAAAAAGCTTGACCTGTATGCTTGTAGGAATGTAGTGTAGTTTTGTAATTCGATCCTACCCACTACCAGACGTCTGAATAATCATTAATTTTGTAAATGTTACGTAACATATTAGGTACTGATGAAAAATTTAACGTTAATAAGTTATAAATGGTGAATATACATCAAGTACTGATCAATAAATTTCCTAAAATTTAATGCCTATAAACTAGTATTCGCACAAGAGTCATCACTACTCACGATCAATGTGTGTTACTTTTTCTTAAACTCATTATATTAGTTTGACCTGGTGTATGTAGGTAAGTGTAGTGTAATTAATTGTAATATTATTCTTAACCCCATATCGTCATGTGGGTTTCGTACAATCTACAAAATGCTTCGTCAATCATGTTATATTCATAAACTCTGATAACCAAGCTAGTGCTGAGATCAAACTTATGGCCCCTTAGCTAGTGGAAGGCTTGCGTAAATAATTATACGGATTATTTACGCAGACTCCTACTAGCTTAGAGGCAAGGAAAGCAACATAAAGGTTCGTTGTGATGGGTTTCTAGGACCTACGATAATTGTAGACAACGAACAGACCAATAAGTTCGCAATCTGCCGTAAAAAATCACTTAAGCTTAGTCAAGACATCAATTTTAAACAATTTCAAAAATTTTATTCGAAGCTTATGACCATAAATTCGCTTTAATATATTTTTATTTAATATATTTTTGGAAAAAGCCCTGTCTGGACTCATGTTCAAGAGCGTATATTCAAATATGCGCAAGTCAAAATCTACGCAATCGCTCTGGCACGGCGTAATATTCACACACACTACAATGTTCTTTCTTTGTGCGTGACTGTTCGAAGGCAAGACTTGTTGCCCTTAGTTGCACGAATAATTTTGAAACTATTTGAACTAAAAGATAAAATAATTTTCACATAATAGCTTATGAGGTCGGTGCTAAGACCAGGTCCAGTGGGTCAAATTTCGGGACACAAGGTAAAAATAATTGAACGGATAACCGGGAATTTGGTTTTAAATTCGGGATAGTTACAATGGTTACAAAAAAGAAGATTTTTTGTAGCCATTGTGGTTGCGATTAGTTCTACTGGTCTTTTTGACACAATGTGCAATATGTTTTGTAATTATTATTTTGGACTATCAAATTAACGATTAATTTTGCGTTCAAACATCGGAAAACTACATATTCATCTGTGTGCATTTTTCTTTTTCGTAAATAACAACTTGTTGAACAATAAGTTTGGCCGCAGACTCTGAACTTTCTGAATCTAATCTTAATTTAATTCATTTTCAGAATAAATCTACTGAACTCACAACGCATGCACTGCACTTATGCACTGCAATCAGACTTATAGGGAATGAATAAAAAATATTAAGAGTATTAAAAAAATTAAAAAATTTCGATTTAGAAAATTATACAATTTACATCAAACAATTCATATGCCAAGTACAAAGATGTTCATAGTTGACTAATAAAATATTCCCGGCAGTGCAACCCTAACGTACCTTCACGTAAACAAAATACCATTGCCCTAAATTATCTTGAGGTCGCCCGCGTAAACCAAGAGTGTGACGAATGAAACTGTGTGAAGCTATATGTTTGTATGAATACTTTGAATGAGACCTATAATAACTACCAACTAAAGAATAAGGGAAAGTAGTAAGTAAGTAATAAAGATCCTCCCTGATCCCGCAAATGAAAAAGTAAAACTATAGTATTAATATAAGTCGTTATCTTCATATAATGTTTATATTTTACAGTTTCCAATAACATTATAAAGTTATAATAATGCAGCTAGTTTTAGGTCATTTTCTGTGGAGTTGTAACGAATTTTTACTAATCCAAGTGCATTTTAGAAGTTGATAGACTATTACTCGTAAGCTTCTTAATTGTGATTAAAATTTGTTAATACAAAATTTAAAAAAAATTACTTGTTTTTAAATTTTTTCTCGTCTGTCTGTCCGGGCTAATCTTTCAAATAGCTGAACAGATCTGGATGAAACTTCACTAACACATAAAGAGCAATTTCAGAAGTGATCTAGACTACATTTTAAGAAGCATAATTTTTTTGTGAAAACGAAAAGCTAGTAATATAGATTAAATTGTTTTTGTTCTCATAAGCCAGAGATATAAAAAAGTTACATACAAAAATTGTTACACGTTATCTACACAAAATAAATTCACACTATCTTCAATACCTCAAAGTAATTATGCAAAATCGATTTTAATATTTTTTTTACTACTTTTATTTACTTAATAGATAAGGTGATAAGACCCTCTTTACATGAAATTAATAGATCTTCGATTTTATTTTTAAGCACTTTTCCATATCGCACATAGTTCGAGATAATAGCTAAAACTGGGCTTAATCATTGCACCACTTGTTCAAAGACCACTATTATACGGGTCGCGGGTACAATCTAGTACTGTTATACAATTGTAAATTGAAAATGTTTCGTCGCGTCACGCAAAAACTACCTAGTGATATTAAATAAAATCCATTGAAGGTAACATTTAGCCCATTATTGATGCGTGTATTATTTTTTCATCTATCAACTGGACAGGGAGAAAATGCCTTAAGGTATTTCCTAAGTCCGCCCTTTATAAACCTTTTGACTTAGGTTAAGACAACAAAGACAAAGTCATACGTTCCACTCCTGGGCACAGGCCTCCTCTCATTTCATAGAGGATTAATTTCTAAGACAATAAAGTACATTTTTAATTTAACGCTTATAATTTGTGAACCCTACGAAGATAGTAGGTAAGTAATCAGGTAGATACTTATTAAACGAATAACCATTTACAGCCTATTAAAGTCCACTGCTGAACATATGATTCCCTCACAGAGTGCCTCATAGTGGGGAAGGTATTTGGCATAGTGACCACATTTCGCAGGCGGGTTGACAATCGTAGATTTTCATTTTATAGTTGTCATTAGAAAGACGCTGTATATTTGCTAGCAAATTAAAAAGGTAAAATAACCCCCAATACGCGACCAGATTTTTAGCTCTCATTTTCTATCATTTAACATAATATTTCAGGCGGCCGGCGCACCTGATTGTGGTGCCGTATTCGCGCAACATATAATGCTCATATTAAGTAATAAAAATTAATTCCATAAAATCAATAAATATATCTCAAGTAAATTTTAATTTACATACGGCTGTGAATTTTTCGCTCAAAATCTGCATACTCTTATAGTAATTTCTAATAGCAATCTACTTACTTGTAGGCGCCAGAGTTGTCGGGGATGTAACGCCCAGAATTGTCGTAGCGGCCTGGATTGTAACGACCAGGATCATAACGCCCTGGATTATAACTTCCAGGTTCATAGCGACCAGGATTGAAGCGTCCGACGATATCGTATATAGTTAAATATCGAGGCTTAGTGGAAATTAACTGGGTAGAGTTGTTCCTACAAACAATAATGCAAGGACTTAATTTTATTTAAAATATAACTTATACGAGTACATAAATCTGTCATTGACTTAAGAGGATATCCAGACAGTGATAAAATTAAAGAATAGGCTTACAATGACCTATTGCTTTCGCGCTGTACCAGAAAGACTGAGCCAAACCGAAAAAGACAACTGCTTTATTATTATTATTATGGCAAAATTAATGGAATCGTCATCACGTAATTTCCTTTTTCTTCTTCCAAAACTGGACAAATTTTAATTATTTTTTCAAAAACACTATAAAATATATTTTTAAACTATTTGTTATAGTTCTTGATAGTTCTAGTTGTACTACACAAGTGAAGTGATAAACTAAGTTTCAATCCACCTGACGATAATTGGCTACTGCAGTCTATGGACATCTGCAGTCAAACATAAACAAGGAAGACTAAAGAGTTGCACATGGAATGTATTACAGGATTTTATTGCACCGGCTCTCTAAATCCTTCAGACTGGAATGCACCTGTGCAGGCACTGCTATTTGATGGCAAAAATTTGTAACAGTGTGGTACCTACCCAGAGACACTCCTAGGCAGAAAAGGTGTCTTATAACCTAGTAGCGTAATTATCCAAGGAGAAAAGAGGAAGGTATTTCGATATAGACTTAACGCCAACCGGATATCCTCTTTTTTCTTTTTTTTTTCTTTGGTAATAGACTCGTACTGTTTTACTCTTGCCAGGGTCAAGATATCATCTTAGCCACTAGAAAGTAATCTTTCACTTTTTTCAAATTTTTAAAGTTTCACAATTACCAGTTGAACAACTAGCTAGCTCTTTTATCACTTTTATTTTATAAATGTGCAAACTATTTAAATGCTTTTTTTCTTAGTATTTTGTGTTTAAATATATTTTATTATGTATTTACATTTTAAAGGGAATATTACGGATATTTAAACGCTTAAAGGTCTATAAAACAAATTTTTGTATTTAAGAAATATTTGAAAAATACACCAAGTAAAAATAGGCTTACCTTCCATTTTCAGCCGCTAAAGCAGTTGTTAATGTTAAACAGATTACCTTTAAAGATGTAATAAAAAAAATTATACATCAACAATGATAAGGAACGTTGTTTTTTTTAAATATATATATGCAAATCTTATAAAATTATATAATTTAAATAGAATTTTTGGTAAACTAAATATAGACGTGCAAAGCGAACTCATTTAAAATATCAGTTGCTATTTTATAGCAATAGATTAGTCGTATATATTAATAAAATCCCATAAGTCTCCGATTACACGCAATGAATTAAAATTACGTACCAGGACCCCTCTCATTTTCTTATCTAAGAATCTAGAAGGTGAATGCGCTATATCAAAAACTAAATCCTTTTATATATTTTTTGACCCCATTTTCATAAAGTTATTCTAACGGCCAACATTATAATGAGTAAACAAATTATGATTTGTTATTCATTAACAGAGATTCTCAATCTTTGCGCCATAACTTTATAAATTTACGCATATTGCCTTTACTTGAAGTATTTATTTGCAGTAATTTACCCATTTACCATCGTTTCCATTTTTGAAGTCATATCTGACGATGACTCAAGTTTTAATACTAAATCGCTACTAGTTTAATAACGGTATAGCACCAGATGTGATAACACCTACGATTCTGCGTGGGTGCTCTTTTGCATATATGGTAAATTATAGATAAGCGAATGAAACTCACGATATGTAAACAATCAGAAACTTACTTTAAATTCAATGTTGTATTTTTTTAAGCGATACCATGTTAAACGTCACGAAAGTACGAGAAGTTGCAAGCGGGACTATAGTCCACAGAAGAACAGAAGAATAGTTTCTAGGCATAATAATGTAATAAAGTCACGAATATTTGTCTCTTATTATATTATTATTGTCTACGTTATCTAACTTACATGATTATAATTTGAAAAATCTATATATACGTCTACTTTTGTGTTTCAAAAATATCCGACTGACGATTTACTACCATATCGAATTTGAATCAAATAAATGGGACTTTCTATCAAAGGTAAAGAAGCTTCGCTTCTTTCGGATGTTTCTTCGCACTGACAATATATATTTGTATCATCTATGTAGCGATTTTCCAGGGCGATGGTGATATTTTAATTAAATTTAACATTGTGTAATAATATAAAATAAAAATATGTAATACCATATTTTTTATACATTATATATTTCGCAAACAAACAAAAGAATAAACAGTTAAAAATAGGAATTATGCAACAATTTTTAAATAATTATATAACAATATTGTAACAGCCTTCAAATTATTTTAAGGATCAACTCGAACATCTAAGGTGTTCGAGTCAAAACGGGTATAAAACCACGCTCATCTGCAGTGTAATCAACTCTATATGTGACACCGTTGGGAGCAACGAATTGATAGAATCCTCTAGCCCTTGTACCATAATTTTCATTATCAATTTTTTCAGCCTTTCCAGATTCCTCAGCAAGAATTGTGTTCTCAGTTTCATAAAGGTAGTGATATCCATCGGGAGGCAGATAATCATTTTCTAAACGGATAATACCATATTTATATACGTATTTACCGTTATTCACTTCGCTTATTATCCCCATTAGCGGTGGTTGACTAGGCACAGGTGTTGGTGTAGGACTGAACACAGCAAATGTACTTGGATTTGATGATGGGCTCAATGACGGACTGGTAGAAAGAGAAGTACTAGGGGTAAATACTGTAGTTGGGGTAGGCGCTTCAGTGGGTGTTGCAGCGAATTCAGTGGATGTTGCAGCGAATTCAGTGGTTGTTGACGTAAACGAAGAAACTGTATTAGCGGTATCATTGGTTCTTGATCCAGTAAAAGCATTTCCATCGTTAACACCACCCGGACCGCCACGATCGCCACTGTAAATTTAACGTATATATTGTATAACTTATATCATTCCCCTGCCTGTTCATCGTACTTTATCTGTATAAGTAGTATGATATCTTTTCCCATGGGTGTTGTGATTTCAATTATAGAATATTTCTGGAATTACCTTTAGTCCTAAAGGTAATTCCAGAAGTATTCCAAGGTCTCCGATGATCGAATAACCTTGTCATAAGTAGCAAACCCTGTTTATTCAGAGAGGCTAGAGAAAGCAGAAGTGTCAACTGCTTATAGAGAGCTAATCTGTTGGGCCAGTGAAAACTTTTCTTACTCGGATAAGGTCATTATATAAGTAATCCTATAGGCCTATAAAAGTAATCTTGTAAATAATTAGTAGGGTATTCATTACTTTTTTATCCACATTGCCGTTTGCATGTCTCTTGACAATAGCCTACCGATACGTTTTTATGTATTTGCCAAATACAAAAAAATCTATATAATTATTTACCGTTGCAACCTATTAAAGTCCACTGCGAAATATAGGCCTCCCCCATAGATTGCCTCATAGGGTGTTTTTCTACATGGCAATTATGGCAAAAATCCCCTTCTTGGCATTCGGCTTGGCAAACGGCTTGGCAACGGCAGTATTATTTTTACTTGTTATTAGGAAGACGCTGCTGCCCATATCCTGAATTGTTTCCTTCTGTCACCTCTTACGACAACCAGGGATGATATGGGGTAGTGAATATTCTTACACCGCCACTAAATGGTAATTTATTTAAATAATATTATATTTATTTTAATTATTTAAATAATATATTTTAATAATCTTACTTGGATGAGCCACTGTCTCCTTGTGGATTGTAAAAGCCTCCTGGGCCACCTGCAGTTCCGGAACCAGTGTAGAAACCTCCCGGGCCACCTGCAGTACCGGAACCATTATAGAAACCACCCGGGCCACCCGCAGTACCGGAACCAGTATAGAAACCACCAGCACCACCACGGTCTCCGCGATCGCCGCTTAAATCATACCAATAACTTAATACTAAGAGTCATAAAATTACATATTAATATTTTTAGTAAATCACAACATATATAATTTCTTTGTAACTTATACTTACAATTTTGTACTGCACTAAATATGATAATATTATATGAACTACAAAAATCATTTTATGGACTTAGGTTAGCCGATGCAACCTGCCATGGAATGAGACTTCTAAACTGATGTTTAATTTTTAAGGATGAAGTTTAACGAGTAAAATCGCTTTCACTTAACTTCGCATGACTATCTGTTTCAGACTTATTTATTACTTAATATTATTAACGAAATACTTTTTGTCACAAATAACAAATTCACTTACTTATATGCGCCAGAATTGTCAGGAATATAACGACCAGATTTGTCATATTTACTGGGATCATAACGACCGGGGTCATATTTACCCGGGTCGTAACGGCCTGCATCATAACGTCCAGAGTTATAACGCCCAGGATCATAGCGACCAGGATTGTACCGACCAGATTTATCAGCAGCAGTCGTCGTGTATCTTCCAAAATTGTAAAACAAAGCAGGATTGTAACGAGAAGTTGTCGTGATAAACTGGAAGGGCGATGGGCTGTGACAGAATAAAACAATATTAAATGTTTTATATATGACCAAGCAAGGGTCGATAAAAAAGTTTTTATCAAATTTACCTTTCAGTTTCAGCCGCAAACGCGCCTGCTACCGTCAAACATAGTACCTTGAATGAAAAAAAGTCACATTAATCGAAAGATAATTTATACTCTCTCCATATTCCAAAAATCAATGGTTGTTTAAAATTATCATAATGGACTATAAAATTAGAATTTAACAGTATCTCTCTAAAGATTTACATATTATCTAGAGCACTTAATCTAAATTTTACACACCAAAATACCCTGCATTTTTCTGCTTCTACTTTGTGAGCTTTGCTACATGAATGTGTTGTGTGAAATATCAATGTCTATATATACCATTTTTCGCCTACTCCTTAATATAATTACTGTCCTGTGCTATTCATATTATTTATAACATTTATAATATGTAAACAAACAAGATTATTTATTTGCAGAGATTCCCAATCTTCATACTATTGACTTTAAAATTTCCTGTGCATCTTAACATTGATAGCTGGTTCCTATTTACTATTTACAGCTAAATTAATTGTTTCGGTCACAAATCTATTGAAACTACTGATATAAAAATAATAACCACTGATAAAAATAAGATTGAAATTCGATTTAAATAAAATGTGTTTCCTAAGGTGCTATATTATGATATATCCTTGTTTCTATTTTGATAGTTGTTAAAACAATGTTTACTTGCCTATTTACTTAAATGATTATTAATTTGTAATTACCAAACATAACCCAAGGAATAAAATTCAAATTTAAAAGTAATTGCAATTCACTGAGCTTGACGATCGCCTTCATCAACCCGTCAGCAATTTATTGCTGGAAGTCTCTCCTATAGAACGAAAGATTTGTCGTAACTGACATGCTTGACAGATGGATCGACGCTCACAAGAGATGTCTCACATTACTTTGCATATTTGATTGAGGTAGTACGGACTTCTACGGACGTGATGTAAACACGCGCAACATGCAAAATTCAACCTTCAAAAACCTCGGCTTCAAGCTTTCGTCATCGTCTTCAAGAACCTAAATATTTGACTAAGATTGCTCCTGCTGCTGCTAGCTATCTAGCTTCACAAGGTTCATCGCAGCACTGGATATACACTTTGTATTCCTTCACGGCACGGCTCCGAGCTTTACTGCTCACCTTCACTTCGCGACACTCTCGCAGATTAATTGCCTTCTTGTCAACTCACCGCAGGCTAAAAAGCAAGTCCTGCCACTTGTAACTGTACTTGTGCCAACTGAACTGCAGTATCCACCTCCGGTCTGAGCAGAGGATTTGGCGGCGCTGTCGTCGTGTCACAAGCAAAACGCACCGAAGCCTAAATCACGCTATCATAGTTCCGAAGTATTGCGGTATATATATAGAATAACTGTGTGCGTTGGCCACTCCTAGGTTGCACACCTTGCCCTGCGAGAGATCTTCCTTTTTCTTCCACGGCCAAAGGCAAATATACCTACATCCTTCCTCGACAACAAGGGTCAAGGGTGACAACAAGGGTCAAGGGTTACAACAAGTGTCGAGGGTGACAACAAGGGTCAAGGGTGACAACACGTCTGAATCGAAATGTAGATATGTTGTCACCCTCGAGTACTAATCTGGATGTTCTCAGTACCTGTAAAATTTCAGGAAGAAGCAATACTATTAACAACTAATATAACTCCAATCCCTCACACCCTATAACTATCACGACCTCTAGGTTAAAAAAATATTTGCATACAGACGCCGTTTCCATTAGCTAGAGAGTTTAGCGAGTAAAGTGCTTTTATTTTTTTTTTTAATTTCGGCAACAAAATTCATCTTATTGCATCCCTAATTTCATCCTACCCCTATATGGACAATTGAGATAAAAATCTAGAACAGTATGTGGAGCGTGGTCTTTTGAAGTACAAAACTCCGAATTTTATTTTTTACCGTGGGGCAATCATCAACATTCCACTGCGGGGGCAACTAAAAGGTTAGGTCGGACTGCTACCTGCTAAAACCCCACGGTGGTCACCATCAGCGTATATTAGAGGTCCGAGATCTCCGTTCGGAACGAAACCGGGGCCCCTCTCTTGCTTTGTTTTATTAATGCACGTCCCGGAGTTAGTCCTTTATGCCCCCTGCACCCTCGCAGTGCTGTCACGATGTTTTGGGATCACTTCCGAGACACTGTCCTCTTCAAGGGTTCGGCGCTCCCTCCCAGAGTGTCCGTAACCCCGGAGGTCTCGTTTCTGGTAGGGAAACACCACCATCAAGGAAAGGGCCGTGACTAACGCTTTGATGATGTCGTCTCCGAGCGGGATCCATCCTCACCCGATTCCATTGAGTAGCCTCCTTCTGAAGTAATGGATTCACATAAGGTTGTTACGGCCCTGAGAGCCGAATCTTAGCTAAGCATCGCTGCCATGATTGCTGGCAGGAAGAAGTTTCATCCAACTCGGATCACCATGATCATCCGCTTCCGTTCCCATGCTGCACATATCGCGAGCGTATAGGACTCAAAATCTTGGTTCCACCCATCACATTATTATTATTATTACATAAATAATCACCGAAGCACCCGTGCCCGGTAATTATCTGTGTAAGTCTGTAGTTGAGTCTTCCTGCCCGTCTGTCTGCCCCTGCCAGGCTTCGAAGTGTGGCAGGATTGTTTCAACAACGCCTTTGCAAGTAACGCTCCTCAGAGAGACGAACGCGCCACGTTGCGAATGTGTTAAGTCTTTGTTGCTGCTTAAACCTCTCGAACACCTCATCTAGCTCAAACCCGCTGACATAGACGCAAGGGTGTAAGACACGGATCCGGTCGTACACCCTCGCGTCTATGTCCGCCAGAATGTCTAAAGACTTAAAGCGAGCCAGGATTCTCGCCGCTGCAAAAGAAATTGTGCAGTATACCCGCACGATTCGTATGGCTATTGTAAATTTTCGGTATGCAGCGTCGGATGGCTAGTCTTTTCGCCCATAAAGGCGCCCCGTATAAGGTTACGTATCGTAGTACCCTCGAATTTGTTTACACTCAATATTTTTATTCTGTTGACAACTTGTTTCACATCTATTTTTCAACTGTTTTTTGTAATGTTGGTGCTGTTAGGCTATACGGCTCTTACAGCTTAACGTGAAACAGGGTTCTCGGGCTCGTGAGCTGTAAGGCCGTGAGCTCCCGTTTTATAAACATTGTATCAGTAATGTGTATTTGCCACATAGGTATCTCGGATGTTATATGACAATCCGGAGCCAAATTTACTGGTTACTTACATTCTTCAGAGGGCTCTTATTACTTCATTTCAGTTGACGACCTGCCTCTAGACCTTCGTCCACATAGAACATAAAAAATAGCACTTTAAGAGCTCATTATTCACAAATATAACTGTTTTTTTTTTAATATTTTAAACGTATAAGTAGTAAGTTAATTAAGTCAATCTATGGGGGAGGCCCATGTTCAGTAGTAGACTTTTGATAGGCTATAATGAATGTAATAAAAAGTGTTGTATGCTAATTTAAATCTAATTAACAATGGTTATGATTTAAAATTAGCGTAGCAATAATAATAAATGATTCCCCATCGCGAATGTTATTTTCTTTCCAATTACAGAGTATGAAGACCGGTGCTTCTTTGACAGTACTTTTATATCGTATTAGGATCCAGAAAACAAAACCATAGTTTGTTATCTTTTTTTTACTACTGCATGCATAAAAATAATTATTGTTTGTTACTACTTATCATAATTATACCCTTTAATTACCCTGACAATGTAGAAATTTATGTATTATTTTTACAGTTTGAGAATCTCACCAATTATAAACGTCACATGATACTAATTCTTAAGATGCACTCCAACCAGTTTGAATTTCACACATGCATAAGAAGTGTGTGTTAATATAAGGTCAACACATCGATAACACGCAAATCTAACTGTATTTTATGCTTATAATATTAATTTTTATGCATGTATTGCCATTTTTGATCTAATAAATGACCTACTAAAATTTATAAACATTTTATGCATTCTGTTTAAACTTATTTTGTATTTTTATTAATAATTCCTCTAGTTATACAAGGAAATGTTATTATGCAGATGTTAATAGGAAATTATATTATTATTAATACTGGTATATATAACAAAATATGGATCATTCCGTTATAAAAAAACGTATTAAACTATAAGTTACTATTTAGTATATTTGTGCGTAGTACAAATATAACATATTATTACATTATATTCTTATATAATACGCCATATGCTTGCAGCACAAATGAATCTATTATGGGGGTGGTAAGAGGCGAATTATTAGGGATAGACCCAGAAGACCCTAAGGGTCTAAGTTTTTGTTAAGTAGCCATTTACAAGCTAATAAGATACATCGGTATGCATGATTTAATCCTTAGAACCAAAGGGGCAAGGCCTGAAATGTCACAATATACGAGCAACCTGAGTTTGATCTTTGGTGCCTAGCACTAAAATTTGTTATTACTATTAACCTCGTGCCAGTTACACCCATGTTCAGCGTTAAAGCTTAATGCATTTCTGAGTATCTTTATTTTCTTATTTTTCGTGTTTCGTATAGTGAGCGTAGAGAACCGGAGACCCTATTTACTGGAAACGAGGCATTCCATCTTAGTCCTTGCGGGTGACAACGCATCTGTAATCGAGGATAGATGTAGATGTCTATGGGTCACAGCATCCACTTACCGTCAGGTGGACTGTGTGCTCGTTTGTCACCCATGTAAATAGGACGAGTATACTGCAATTTATGGAAAAAGTTGATGACATTTCCGCCGTCGCCTCATAAAACACCCACAGGATTAAATGGTGATGATAGATTCTGTTACGTCACTATTACACGGCATTTTTTAATTAGCTTGTAAACAATATACCTACTGCTAGACATATGCTTTTCCATAATAACTAAAACCTATAACCCCAGCAATAAGTAATGAACGGGTGGTCTGAAAAATTTTCAACTTAACAAAGATACAAGACATTTTTTCTTAAAATTTATTTTTATTTTTCTACATAGTCTCCTTGTAACTCTACACACCTCACCCAGCGATGCTCCCATCTCTCTTACACGTTCAAATAGTAGTCG